AAGGCAGTGGGTTTAAATTGTCAAATATCTACCAGAGCATGGAGATGAAAATAAATGGAGACGAAGATTATAGGTTAACAACAATATGAATGGATATCAAATATCTTCAAACGCTTGGTTTTACTTCCTCAGTAACGTCAATTAGTCTAACTAAACTGTCTTATACAACTCAGATGTGCAGTCACTGGCCTGATGAATTAGTACCATCCTCCGGTCTCACATATTTCACACTTCCTTCACTTAATATTCCTTTGGAGAGGTAGATAGAGAGAAAAAAGTCAAAGTAGAACCTTACACACACAAGCATTGGTTCAGTTTGCCACACTTCACAGTAACATGCACAGAACAAATGGATAGAAAAAAATGACATCAAAGTAGACAAAGTTGTATGACAGAATAGAACGTTTGAAGATGAAGGTTTGTACGAATATTAAAACTTAAGAAAACGTCAACGAGTGATAACATTTGCATCACTGTGACTGATTTTCAGCCATGTCGCTTGGAGTCCTCAACTACTGATTCCTATCGTATCCTGAACCTCAGTCAGGTAGTTTACACCTCTCTAATTGGCTCTCAGACCCACAGCCAGAGACTTCATCGACTGATCTGAGCACTCTAAGTGTTGTTTCAACCTAATCCAACCTCTCCTGTCACTGTACATCGACATGAGCACCTTCAGGTAGTAATGTGTATTGAATTAGGTTGTAATATATGATGCAACCACTTCGATCAGTGCAGTTCCACAATCTCATGGACTGATTTATCTTCTGTGCCTGAAATCATATTATGTAATTAAAGCAAGCTATTCAGTATGACTTTGGCTTTGATTTTCTGAACTTGTTCTTTGAGTGTAAACAAGCAGAAGGCTGGATTTATCCATCTGGGAAGTATGTCACTCTCTTCACTTCCATCAACTTATGTGTGAACAGTATTTATTATTATTTGTCCCTTGGGTTCCTAATAAAACATACACCTTCACTAGCAGGTCTCCATTACACTCTCTTCTCTACAATATATCAATCTCGCTCCACGACACCCCACAACCTCTATTCTCCTCCTCACACCATATCCTCCATGTCACCCTCACCTCCGACGACCAACTCGTCGTTTCCCATCTCGATTCCACTCGAGTGCCTGGCCTGGCCTGGCACGTGATGTCCCCATTCGGTCTTCTCAGTGTATGCCCAACCCAACCCACCCCATTCCATTCCATTCCAATCTATCTCCACTTCCTTCCACTGCATATTTGTTCAGCGATATCTTCTTGCTTCGTTGGTTCCCTGCCTGCCAGCCAGCCAGCCAGCCAGCCAGCCAGCCAGCCAGCCAGCCAGCCAGCCAGCCAGCCAGCCAGCCAGTCAGTCAGTCAGAGTTATCCCTTACTTATTCTTATTACTCTTTCCGGCCATCTCAGCTTCAGTAATGAGCCAGCGTAGGCAGCAGTTCTTAACGAATATCTGTAGTTTGTTGCAAATGCCTTTCATAACACGCCAAGTCTCTCAACCATCACATTGAAGCACTGACTTACTTGACTGAATTGGTGTTGAAAATCCGGATGTTGTTCACGCTTTATGCTGAGTACAGTGGAGGAGATCTTCACACTGGTTTCAGGTTAATGCAGGAAGGCCTATCTTGCTGTCTTTTCGATCCTGGCTGGCTTTGACGTCCTCGTCTGTGCCGTCTGCAGTTGAGACTGTGCTGACCAGATAGGTGAAGGAGGCTACTTTTTTAAAATTTCTCTCATTGATGGCGATGGAGCTTGTTGTCTTTGTTATTGACTGGGTATCTGCAATAGTGGTGTGAGCATGTCTGCTGTTGTCTCTGTGTCTGCTCTCAGTGCTTCTGGCGGGATTTCATCTGGTCCTGCTGCTTTCTCGCATTTCAGTAGCTTTATGGCGCTCAGGACTTCCACTTTTGTCAGAGGATTTGTGTTCACCTGTAGTTCTGTGGCTGCAGGTAGTACTTCTGGAAGAAGCGTAGGTGGTGGTCGATTCAAGAGCTTTTTGAAGTGGTCAGCCCGTCGTTTCCTTTGTTTCTCCTCTCTGTTTGGTAACTAACTTTCCCTCACTATCTTTCATTGCTTTCATCTGTGTTGATCTCTTCCCTCCCAGATAGTAACTTGGTTATTTGATACAATATTGTCAGGTCTTTCCTACCTGCAGCCTGTTTTGCTTCACTTGCCAATGTGTCGTAGGAGTGTCTTTTGTCTTCCCATGCACTCTTCTTCACTTCTTTGTCCAGTGTAGTGTTTTGTACATTGTACTAAGTTCCTCTTGTCGTTGAGCATCAATGCACTGGTTTATCTTCTGCTTCACCATCCTCCTCTCCTCTATCAGCTTCCATGTGTCCGTCGAGATCCATTCCTTGTCTTTCTTCTTCCTTCCTAATAGGGTTGTGCAGGCTTCTTTCCATATCTCCATTAAAGAGTTCCAGTGATCATCCACCCAGGGTCTTTCAGGGATGTTCCTCGATATCTCCCATTTTGTCTTGATGGCTGACGTGAAGATTTTCTGTGTAGTTTTGTCCTTCAGTTCCTCTTTGGGGTGTTGAACTTGAACTGTGGTCTATCACCAACTTCCCTGAAGGCTTTCAACTTGATTTGGAAGGTTCCTTGTACTAGACAGTAAGTGGTCTGAACCTACATCTGCTCCTCTTCTTGACCTTGTGTCAAGTAGGCTGCGTCAACACTTTCTTCACATTGGGATGAAGTCAATCTGATTTTTAGTGTGTCCATCTGGTGAAATCAAATCGCTTTGTGGATATCCTTGTGCTTGAAAGCACTGCCTCCAATCACCAAATCGTTGAATGCACAGAATTCTGCAAACAATTCTCCACTCTCATTCCCAAATATGTGTTCCTATATATTCATATTGGTGACTAGTAGTAGAATCCAGGATACGCATTTCATCCTGCTTGGGACTCATTAACTGGATAAACCTGCACTACAGTGAACGATATTTTTCCCACTGAGACTCGAACCTAGTACCTATCGCTTGAGGCGCGAGTGTTATCCACTAGGTACTTCCAGCCGACGAGTCCCAAGTAGGATGAAACGCGCGCCCTGGGTCCCACTGCTAGTCACCAACCTGAATACAACTACGAAAATCTGGCAGTATCGAGGCCTCCTCATAGGAGTCCATCTTCCAACAGAGGGTAGACAATTTGAATGTGTATAGCAATGTGTTCATAAGTAGTTATATAATGGCATGGCTAGAAAGTCAATTACATTTAAATAACCTGACAAATACATCATCAAGATTAACATAGGACCAGGCATTACTGGGTAACGGCCCAACTTGTCACACTTCATATCAACACATGAAGTAATAAGCCAATGCGATGAAAGATGAGGAAAGAAAGAAAATTTGGTCAAAAGAAGTAGAAAGTAATAAATGAGAGGAGTAAGAAAATGATGAGGATAATGTGTGTACATCTGCGCCGCTGATATTGGTCGTGAGCCATATCACCTAGAGTCTCCAGTCACTCTTGTCTCATAGACCCCAACCGGGGTCGCCCTGAGCCTGATTCCAGTTTAAAACACCTTCGACCAACACTATGCGACAGGGCAGGTGATAGCTAGGCATACGTAACACGTGCCACAGCCATTTCAGTCGATGAAGGTTCACTTCCGCATCAGCTGTCTTATCTCTTCTGTCTAAAACTCCATGCCTAACTTTGGTGTTACTCATCTGGTGACACCACGAAACACAGCCTATGCTACGAAGGTAACTGTGGTCAAGCACCTGAAGCCTTCTCTTTCACTTTTAATGGCCATATTTCACAGTCATAGAGTAGAACAGAGTCGACTGCAGCACAGTACACTTGACCCGATAAATACAGGAAGAAAACTCTTATCGTCCTCTACAGGTGGAAGCATTGATGAAAAAAGTCAGTCAGTCTTTAGACAATTATATAGAAGCCGTCAAGATTGTTCATCGAAGCTTTAGCTATAAAAAGTTCAGAACCTTAACCTTTCCTTAATAATCTTTATCTCAATAATGTATGATTCCTCCTGACTATCCTTCCGGATCTGTGTAAACAGTTTGTTCGAAATGTATTGCTCAAGTACATCACATTTCTCAGGTTATCTCCATCTTCTTATTGATATTGTGTAAATTCATGGATTAATTATTTTAAATTCTTGAAAAGTTAGACTTTTATCATTTATTGAAACTTAGGAATACTATCACTCTCATTGAGATGCAGATATATTCAACTGAAAAGTTCTAAATAGGACGAAATACTCGTCTTGAATCGATTCTACTATACCAATGAAATTAGACAATGTGGTCATATCAATAACTTGAAATATATATATATATTTATTTATATCAATATGTCTGTTAAATATATGTACATTCAATGCTACATAATTCTGTTCATTTGGGGATACATTGAATATAAAATTGGTCTAAATTGGTCAAAGATACTTTCAAAATCATAATGACAATTCTAGTAAAAGTAGTAGGTGATACTAATTAGTATAAGAAATAAGATGAATACTAAACCATAGAACTGAAAACAATAAATGAAAATACTAAAAGAAACACTGGAAAAAAAAAAGAAAGAAATTCTTTATGTGTTATGGTTATTTCATTTCAATCATCTTTTTTTTTCGGTTTTCCTTTATTTTTACTGAAAAATTTCTAAAAACAAAAAAAAGAGGAAGAATAGAAAGACTAAAGAGAAGCAGTTAACAAAATGCCAATGATTATTTATTTGCTGATTTGATTTGTAATTGTTTAAACACATCACTGGGATTAAGTAATCCTTAAGCGGTTATTTTAAAAATATAACATATACATTAATGAAGATGTATTCACAAAGGTCTAATTAAATAATGATTCACTTCCTTAAATACTTTTTAATAATGAAAATTGAATTTTTATATCATTTTATGATTAGAAATGTAAGTTTCTTTCAAATATTTTTATTCTATATTTAGTATGATCGATAGTAAAGAGTATTAACAGTTTATGTTAGATTATTAGTAGTTAAAGTGATTATTGAGGCATAACTTTTGTCTCAGAAACACGATGTTTTAAATGTATTGAACGATTAGCTTCAATTAAATGTCCTAAAGGAATTCCTGTACCTTCACTGGCTCTTGATAAATAAAGTAGATTTGAATCACATCTAACCTGTGGTTCACATCGATTTATTTGTCCTCTCCATAATAATTTCTCTCGAAAACTTTGAGTTCGATAATTTTCAATATTTACTGTATCATTGCGACTAATATTATTTAAGCCTTGATTACTATGATAATCAGAAATTGGTGAATCTAAGAAATTATTATTATTATTATTATTATTATTATTATTATTATTATGCATATCATTATTGGAAATAGTATTATTATTATTGTTATTGTTAATGTGGTGATAATTATAACTATGACAAGCTTGAGTTACATCAGATGAATAGCATTCAGAAGAGAAAGATGAAGCTGGACTGACTGTACGTGATGTTGATTTACTTGTATGCCTACCATTGGGTGGTTTCACTTTTGATGGTCGATGCTCTCTACGCAATTGATCCAGTTCTGATTCTAACTGTTCAATAGATTTTTCTTGTTGTTTTATTACTTCTGTTTTAGAGGCAACCACCTCTTCAATCTCTTGACGCTCTAATTGAAGCATTTTTTTCAATTCTTGTAATCTATATTTAAAAAAATTTTAAAGGTAAGAAAGAAAAAGGAGATTTAAACAATTAAGGATTGAACAAATATTGAAAAAAAGGAGAATGTTATTGTTTAGCATACAATGTAAATAGGATGAATATAGAGAAGACAGAAGTGATGAAGATACCGCACCACCACCATCAACAACAACAACAAACTCCAGTCACCATCAACGGGAAAAACTTAAAGGAAGTAACCTCCTTCACCTATCTAGGAAGCATTGTCTCAACTACAGGCGGGACAGACGAAGATGTCAAATTCAGAATCGGAAAAGCAAGACAGGTGTTCATTAGCCTGAAACCAGTGTGGAGATCTTCTGCACTCCACTCAGTGTGTGGAACAACATCCGGATTTCCAACACCAACGTCAAGTCAGTGCTTCTGTATGGTTGAGAGGCTTGGCGCGTTACGAAAGGCATTTCCAATAAACTACAGACATTTATCAACAACTGCCTACACTGGCTCGATACTGAAGATCAGATGGATTGCCAGAAAGAATAAGCAACAAGGAGCTCTGGAACGAACCAACCAAGAACCTATCACCCAACAAATATGCAGAAGGAAATGGAGATGGGTTGGGCATGCACTGAGAAGGCCGACTGGAGACATCACGCCTCAGACCAGTTGCTCGAGTGGAATCCCCATGGGAAGCGACGAGTTGGGCGTCCGTGGTGAGGGTGACATGGAGGAGATCGTGCAAGGAGGAAATGAGAGGTTGTGGGCTGTCGTGGAGCCAGGTTCAAAAGATTTCAGAGAACAGAGTTTACTGGAGACGTGCTACTGAAGCCCTATATTCCACTAGGAACCCAAGGGACTAATAATAATAATAATAATAATAATAATAATAATAATGAGTAATATAATGTGATACTATTTTTTTCAGTTGAAAACCAGAAGAAAAAAATACACTTCATGATAGATTACTTCGCATAGGGTTAATCTCTTCTTTTCACATCATAACGATAATCAGATAACTAATAAAATCAACGTAGAACCCGTCACACAAGTGCATCGGTTCAAGTTACCATACTTTACATTAGTACACATTAGTACACAAATCATCAAAAATCCTCAACCAATGATTCTTTGAGTTGAGGGGACTCTCTAGTCAGGCAGTCTGCATCCCTCAATACAGCTCAGACTAACAGTTAGAGAATTCATGGATTGATATCATATCATAGTCTGATCACTCTGAGCTATCTTCCAACCTAACCCAACCATCCCCCCAGCTTCTTACGTCGAGTTAAGCGGTGGTTGGGGATGCATAATACACGTTCAAACCACGGTTATTTTAGAAAACCTGAGCAATGCTGCAAAAACATTTGTGACCAAAATCCTTTAACTGCTTGATGCCTTCTACTTTCAACAGCCATGTCTTATTGATAAGAGCTTATCAGTTGATCAGGTCAATAAAAACCTTTGACCCCTGGTCAACTATTAAACTTTTATCAATGAGACATGACCTTTAAAAGCATAAGACATAGAGCGCTTCCAGGTTTCTGATCACATGTGTCTCCGTAGCATTGTTCACATTTGGTGAGATCACGGTTTGAGCAATGTTAAGGTTAAGCGAAAGGTACTAGGCAAGACAGGTAAGTCGATTGATGATGAGATTATGAACCTTCATTGACTAAATTGGCTTGTACTTCTGTTGCACATGCCGAGTCAACGTCTACCTCGATATGAGAAGCTTGGAGGGGAGTCAGATTCGGCTGCAGGAGGATTCAGATTGGCCAGACCAATATATGATATCAGTCAATGAAGTCTCTGACTGTTGATATGAATCGAGCAGGAAGATGTTGACTGCATAAGACAGGAATCAGTGGTTGAGGACTCCAGCTTAGATATTTCCACTAACCTTTATCTTCAAATCGTTTATTTTCTAACACAACTTCGTTTACCTTCTGTCCACTTGTTATTTGTATACTGCTATGAAGTGTTGAAAGTTGAGCTGATTTACTTGTGTGCGAGGTTCTGCATTGATTTTCTCTACTTGTCATAGCTATCAGACGTTTTACTCAGTAGATAATTTGTATTCATGCTGTTGTGTATCTCATCTTCCAAATAAAAGTAATTGTCACTTAGAATATCAACGACATCCTTAGTTAGGAGACTGATAATCATGTGCACGGACAATAACTGAAGGTAATCGAATCTTTGTGTTCTCACGAGTGACTTAAACCAAAGAGCCTTGGGATTGTTGGCTAGACGGTCTGCCTGTTGTGTTACGTGAGAACCAGCCATCCAGAGATTCAATCAGCTGTTATGTGTGTATTTATGTGTGAAAAATAGATGCCCTTTTATTTCTCTAATCGAGTCGGCTGCTTATCTCTACTCCCTGGACTTATCTTCACATTCAGAGATGATGACTGATTTAGACAAGAAATTTTTAGGTAAACCTTCAACGCTTATAAAGCCTCACTTATGTTTTCTGTTTCTTATGTATAGTCTACCTAGGCTATATAAACGTAATGTTCTATTAAGAACTGAACTACAAGTTCGACAAAGCAATAAGAAGCCGTAAATTGTCTGGACCGTGTAATGTATTTGCGCAACACATCTGTTAGATAGCACAAAATAATCAGAGAACCAAAACCAAATCTTCAGTTTGTCCCAAACAAAGATGTCATTATCAGTCTTCCGTACAAAGGTGACTCTTTTAGTGTGATCCTTAAATAGAGACTTAACGCTGCCGTTAGAAGGACATGCTATGCAGCCAGGGTTAGATTAGTAGAAGCCACCAAGCCCGGTATATTTTCCCCAAACCCTACAGCATGTGCACGACAATGTCATATCCCATTGCATCCACTAATTCAAATGTACGTGTGGTGACACATATATAAGGAGGACTCATAGATCTGTGAAAGTAAGGGCCTCGGAGTATATTCCAAAGTGGCTTCAGAAGTAAATTAAATCATTTGAACCCATAAACATTGGTAGAGGACGTTCAAGTTCTGCGATCACGAAACATATCGTTAAGTCACGGGATTGACGTAGCTACTTCCTTTACACCTATTTACAAAACGTGTTGGGGAGGGATCCTAAAATTTGTTGAGACCTTAGCTATTAGGAAGCTCAAATAACCTTTGTGTTTTGATAAACAATTTATCATCACATTAAATCTCCCTAGGTAAACTCAACTATGAAAACCACTTTATTGATTTTCATTGTTATTCGGCCTTTAGTTCAGCCTTCCTACTTGACCTTTATTCATTTTCTCACCCCTTATCTTCATGAATTATCATATAAATACACATGACAAGTACGTTTATGATCAGATAGTTCTGAATGCAATGCAAAAATTCCCATTTAGACATTTAGTAAAACAAACAATATGAGCGAAGAAATATTTCTTTTCATTTAGTTCCTCATCAATGGCTCTACACTAATATAGCATTTTCAAACGTAAAATTACATACCAATCTAGTGGTGAGGGTTGTTGAATGAAAGGCTATCAATCTCACAGTATCAAGGTGATAATTGATCAGGTAATTAAGACAGTTAACTAAAGCAAAGATTAATTATCGTAGAAAGATTTTGTGAACAGGTTTTTACATAATTGATATTTTGTATAATGGTAACTAAAGAGCGAAAATGAACTGTTACGTAAAATGGTAAATTGTTGACGGTAATTAGAGACAGTAGGGGGGGAGAAAGGTGGTTAAGTATGTAATAATAATAATAATAATAATAATAATAATAATAATAATAATAATAATAATAATGGAGCTATTAAAATATTAGTTATAGTCAATTGTGTGGTGAATGAAATGAAGAGTCTTGTTGTAATAAATGAGCTATACAGGTGGCCAAGGCAAAGAAAGAGGCTGTACGAATCTCTTCTGAACACACAGACTTGGCTTGTTTAGGTGGATTCCTGTGACTTCTGCTGTATGTGAAAGAGGAACTCGTAGAGGATGGGTGAGATGAGAAGGAATGTGATAAATAACTTTAAAGGCATTATGAATGTTAACTTCGTGGCCGGTGTCAATCAGATGAGAGAGTATTGAGCTTCGTTTCAATCTGGTTTACCCCTTACTTAGCCATGAAGGATGATGCTCGGTGATTCGACGACGGACTTGCCTAACTGTACGTCCAATGTAACTAGCTCCACAGGGGCAGTTGAACTGGTAAATGCACATAGAAGAGGAGAAGTCAGGTAGTCTGTCTTTAGTTCGTGTGATCATCATCGGCCGGCTATAGAAAACACAACATAACTTGGCGGCATTAAATGATCTTCTTATGGCATTTCTTAAGCGTTGTGTCACAATTTCGCTGATGATATCACCTCGAAATTGTAGTCTCAGGAACAATGGTTTCTTGGAGACTGTAGGCATTCTGGTTTTCATATTGGATGTGTTCATATTTTTAGCCAGGAACGTTTCTGGATATCCATTACTACTGAGTAGATCGTGGATAATTTGAAGCTCTTCGTCAAAAGTATCATCTGAATAGAGTAGTCTAACCCGACGAACCAAACATTTAACTAGATTTCGTTTATATCTTGCAAGGAGATGAAACTCAAGAAGTGGGTGTATTGATCTGTTGACATTGGTTTCCGATACACGGAATGTGTTACGCAAATACATTACACAGTTCAGACAATTTATATCTTCTTATTGTTTTGTAAAAGTTTATAAAGGGAAGTAATTGTTTTAAATTTATGAACTGTAAGTATTTAATTCACCTTATCTAAACATCTCTCTTTGGTTAACGGAAAAGCTAGAACCTTTTCACCAGCAGTTGTCTGAACATTCATATTTCTTGGTATTGTGAGAATCAGTGAATGTATCTTAAATAAGGTAGCGTATTTGCTAAATTTACACTGGAAAGAATATTATCTCTTACTGTACACTTTTAAATAAATGTGTTTTAGTTTTACTACAGTAAAGAATGTCACTTGTGTTTAGTCCTTATGTCAAGAGTTTTTTTCTCCTGAAATATTGAAGTTAGTGCTGATTATGTTGTCTAGAAAGACA